AGAATCTAAGACAACATGCTACAATAGCTATCCATCTACATTAAGTGCATAAATACTTCAAAAAGATATATGAATATGTGTTCTGCGTTCATATTGAACACAATCTGGATATATCCCAGAAGGATATAAGTAAACAAGGGTAGTTAGACAAGTACACAATATAATAAATGCCTAAGGACCATAACAACACAAAAGTGAATAAATCGTTAGAAATGAATGCACTTTTACCCACCTCCACAGCAGCTATCAGTGCCCGTGTCAAGCCAGTTCCAGTCTCCATTGAACCCAAGCGCGAGTCTCCAATTTTACATGAAATTAACTGTGCTCCAGGTGCAACACCATTTAACAAGGGCTCCTAAATCATCATGCAAGTCAGAAGACAATTTTTATTGAAACTTTGAAAAGAAAAATGCCACAAACCAATTAATTAAGCTTAAATGGCAGTACCTGGGGATGGAAAGCAGTAGCAATACCAGCAACATGTGTACCATGAGGAGAGCTATCTGTAACAATGCTTAAGATATTTCCCTCATCATACACATTAACAACAAATGTACAAGCATCTAATTTGCTAAACACGCCATATTTCCGCTCAATCCTGCAAGGTTGGTTTCAGAAGAGTCAGCTAACAATTATATTACGTTTGTTTCAGAAACTCCAAAGCAAAATATCAAAGAGGGGCACTTAAAATTTTTTAAGACAAGTGCTTAACAATATGAAACAATATACAAACAGAATGCTACATTCCAAGCACCCAAATCAAAGTTTACCATGGTACCGTATTAATATTAACATTCTTCCATCATTAAAAAACCATTTCATTGCCTTTGTATAAATGTCTACCAAAGAAAGATTAGTCAAACGGTTGATAAGTTAAATGACAAAGGTGCAGACCTGTAATTAGTTAGGGGCACAAAGTCAGCCAGAGTCCCACATTTATGATCATCCTCGAGACTCTGAGTGTCAAAAGCAACCCTCCATACTTCTCCATCATGCCATACAACAGCATCTATAACAGGTCCTTTGTCATTATAACTCTAACACATGAACATGTGGAAAGCTCAGAGCAATATAAATTTAGTTAAAGAAAAGTAATTTAATAAAATCCTTGGCACTCACATCAGCCAGCTTTCTTAAGATGTCTATTCTATTCTGGAGATCTTCACGAGTTCTTTTCAATTTTGGATCCTCCACCTTTGTATGTTTCTATATACATCGACATAATAACATATTATACACAGTAATAGTAATAAAATGCATGCTAAACAAGTATGATGATATGAGACCACCAACCAGTAAAATGCTATCAGCAACCATAAGATGCATGGGACTTTTCCATTTATCCGTAGGGAATATTTTTTATTGTGGAAGAAAACAACATATTTTGAAGCATATGCATAAGTAATGAACTAAGTGCATTAAAAGAAGGTTAAAATAAATGCTGCTTATTGCCAAAAAAAATTCTAAGAGTATAAGAAAGCATGTAATCTTTTTGTTGATAGCTAAAGAAAGATTCTATGCATCCCAAAGTGCTCAATATATTTCTATCAAATAATACCCTTCATAGCATGGTCAATTTTCTTGCTAAATGAGTAAGATATCATTAAGAAATTAGCTACACAGCACTATCATAACACAAGAGATGCATAAACAAAATTTAAGACCTAGTTTCACTTTCACATAATGGATGCAAATTATAGATATATATAGAATATAATTAGATAATTTTCATGCAATTATACTATAGTTATTAAAAATTTAAAGAAAAATGGATTTGAAATATTAAAATCTATGTCTATGATCATACAAAAGGAGGTTACCAAGTAGAATTTCCAACAACCTGATCAAATTCATCAAGATGCATTACAGCCTTTGCAATCTCCACCTGGTTTTTTTCATCCCATTTTTTCTTTCTTTCTTTCTGCAATGTGAATAATGAGGGGAATGATAAGAAAATAGTTTGTCATCAGTCAATTTATCATGGGTCATGAGCAAAAGTTGTTTTATGAATTAAACAGAAAATAATTTTTACCTTTAGACGTGAAGTCAAAGTGTCCGTAAAGAGCTCATAAACCAATTTATAGCCCACATGCCACTCACCAGAAGGGTTTTTCCATGAAGAATTGACAACCAACGAAGCCCCTAAATTTCATTTTTTAACAAAATATGGACTATCGGATTATAAAAATAAAAGTTAACTCAGAATTAAAATAGATGATAATACAACATGGAGTATATACAAAAAGAAAACAAAACGGAACATTATCAAGTAGCTAAATAATGTCACATAAGTACTAGAGGGTAATCTAGTATCTACTATGCTCTATGTATTTGATGTGTCACACATTTTTCTTTACAATGACAAAGTTACCTAAAGAATGGAAATATCCAAGAACTACATGAAAATAGACTCAGTTGATCAATTGAAAGACAAAATACAAGAAAAACCCATTAGTTATCGTTTAATACAGGTAAAGTTTTAGCCACCACTCCATTGCAGAGTTGAAGAAGCCTTAAGGAACAAGAAAAAACCCTCGACGAATATACCATTTAAAACAAGAAACTTAGGAATTCAAATTTAATGCACACTTTCCATGATCATAGGTTAATCAAATATTTCACAATAATACAACCTGAAGCTCCGTGAATTCGTCCATCTCCATCAGCCTTCACCACTTCTGAGGTATCAACATCTCCACTCCCAGTACTAAAAAAATAAATAAATAAACTCTCAAGAAACTTAAAAATAATAGTAAAAAACTGAAAAGAAGTAAAGAACTAATTTAATGAACCGTTAGTACAGCAGACTGAGCAGTAAGTACCAGTCAATGACATCTAAGATCTTTGGTTTCCCATCTGAAGTCAGTTGCAAACCAGCAGCAGCCGGGTCAACACCAGAATCTGAAAAAAAAAATTATAATAAAATGGCAAAATATCAAGAATCAAAATCTGGATTTCCTTTCTATTAATTTCCAGAGTTGTTTAATTTTTTTTGAAACAACAAAGTCAAAAGAAGGTACCAAAGATTGCGATGAGGGCGCCGCGACCGTCGTAATGAGCATGAGCTTCAATGAAGCGATCAGCGCCAATCTCCTTCTTCGGCATCAGAGAGGCTAAGAAAGTGGACTCGTTCAGTTTGAAATTGCGAAAACGCCCATTCTCTTCACCTCCGCCACCACCACCACAAGTAATATTGCTAGTCTCTATTGAAGAACAAGGCATCGCCCTATATTTACCACCGCGAATCCCGCTTCCGCTTCGATGAGGATGATTCCACTCCTTTTTCCTTCTTTTCTTGAAATTACTACTATTATTATTATTTTTTAGCTTTATTTTGCGTCCAATGATTAGGAGAGAAGGAAGGGTGTGAGACGACGGAGATACTAATATAGGTGGCTGTTTGGCCCAGCTCAGCCCTTTAAGTATCGGGTTTTGCATTTACTTTTTTATTGTTTCTTGGATCCGAGGAAAGAAAGAGGGGTGTTTTGGGAATTCTGTTAGCTGTGGCGGCGGAAGAAAGCCGTTATGGATCAGCTCGCCACCTGTTTATGAGGAATAGCGTTAGATTTATCTTTTTTTTTTTTCCGTTGAGTGATAGCGTTAGTTTGCAAGTGGGTTTTGATTGGATGTGTTTTGGGTGGCGCGGGGCCTCTGCCGTAGTTAAATTACGGATTTTGTCCTTTTTTACCTTTCTTTTGGACCCTTTTTTCACCTTTCGGAAGGCGCGATTACGTATGAATCAAAATAAAAGGATCACTACATCACTCTTAAATAGAAAGAATAAATAAATATATATATATAGTGGCTCGATCGAATAAATTAAAGTGATGTTTCGTTATAAAAAAATTCATAATTTTTTTTTTAATTTTGATGATAGATATTTAATTTTTATATTTGATTTAAGATAATTTGATTACAAAAAAAATGATAAATTTTTAACGGTAACTAAAATTTCAAAATTAAAAACAGATTTTTTCTTATAATATTTTAAAATTTTGAAAAAAAAATTTATTTTTAAATTTGATTTAAATAAAAAATTATAAAATAATTATTATTCTTTTGAAAAGTACATCTAAAAATAATTAAAACTCAATTATAATTTTTATATAAAAAATATTTTTAGATTATAATTAAAACGTTTAACATAAAAAAATATCTTAAATAATTTTTTATTTTATAAATAAATTATTTAATGTATTTTGTGCAAAAAATATCTTAAATAAATTTTTTTATATTTTAAAATAAAGGATTTAAGGTTAATATTTTTATAAAAAGATTATTTAAGATATTTTTATACGAAAAATTATCTTAAATAATCTTTTTATATTTTATAAATAGATTATTTAAAATTTTTTTATACAAAAATACCTTAAATAATTTTTTTTATTTTTTAAAATAAAATATTTAAAGTATTTTTGGATAAAAACGACTTAAATATACGCTTTTGATAAAAAAAAAAAAACACATTAAATCATTCTTTTTATTTTTTTAAAAAGTATTATTTAAGACGTTTTTTTATTTATAACCGCATTAAATAATGTCCTTTAAAAAATGACAAGAATTATTCAATATAATTTTTTTATCCAAAAACGTCTTTAATAATCTTTTTTTATTTAAAAAAAATATATTATAGATTATTTAAGGTATTTTTGGTTTGAAAATATCTTATATAATCTCCTTTAAAATAATAAATGAGGTTATTTAAGGCATTTTATAATAAAAAATGCCTTAAATAATTTTAAATATTTTTTATTGATAATATTTTATAAATAAAAATAGTAATCATAAAAATATTTGTTTTCTTTTGTTACTAAAAGTGTTATTTATCGTTTTAGTATTTATTATTAATAGAAGTTAAAGAAAAATTATCATTATATATGTCAAAGAATATACATAGATTTCATCCAATCAAACGAGTGAATTTAAATACGAAATGATCTAAAAAAAAAACTCTAAATATTACGCTTTCTCAATACGATTCCACGAACTAAACGCCCCTTAAACAATTTAATATGTAAAGTCCAAAAAAGAAATTACATAAATTTAAAATTTTAACTTTGAATAAGATATTGCCCATATGATCGATTTCAGAAATTCATAATTATTGGGATTGCATAACCATTTTTCCTTAAGCTCTATCTTTGGATACTTTTAAAGCCTTAATATTCCATCTTCTATATATTTTTTATATTTTGTACATGTTACATATTTTTTCTAAGCATACTCATGAATTAAATTTAATTGACCAAGTCAGGTTAGAAACCATAATGATGTAATACAAGGAATAGATGTCCATCTTGTTTCAAAGATCATATTCTAGGACAAAGTATAATATAATCATAATTAAAAAAAAAAAAAGATAAAAGAATATCACAGTCTATTTCTTGTGAATAGAGTAATTTGATAGTTCTGCTATCCTGATATTTCTTCTCAGCATACTGACCAAAACTTTAAGTATGAATGTAAAAAATCAATTGATTTTTTTTATCCTATTGTGATAAATCAAGTGTGATTCTGGTGTAATGGCTGTTGCCATAAAATACGATCTATACTTCCTTTCAACATCCTTTTCTTTTTGAAAAAAAGCTACCACAATGAGCTTCAACAGGTTGGCAAAGAATAAGAATTTGTCATAACTGAAGAATCATTTATCTTAAACCTGCAAATTCATTTCAGTGACAACAAGAATATGTTATTTTAATCAAATAGCAGCCCCGTTAGAAATACTGTAGGCATTAGGACATTACCTGAGCTGATGGTATAAGGTTGTGGCAGGTGGTATCACAAGGATATGGGCAATCAATCTCTTTGGTTATTCTTCTGCTAAAGTACCAATCACCAACTGCTTCTGCAATGGTCTGTTATAACATTTTCAAGTTTTCTCATGAATGAAATAAGGATTAAAATAATAGCATCAACCATCAAGTTTCAACCAAAATTTATAGGTAGGAGAAAAATAAATCTCTTGTTCCAAAACTAGTTCATATTTACAGGTCAGAACATTTACAGGTCAGAACACACGCTTAGATGGTAATCAGAAGAAAGTATGATCCATCAGCGAGTTCACACATTCAGGTCTGATGTTCACTCTAAAAACAGTTGTTACTGAAGTAACGTAGGAAATATGAAAGCCAGGTCATAAACCTGAATTTTAGAGTGGCTGCGAAGTTGGCATAGGTAGTTACCTTATTGTGTATTCTTGGAGAATCAACAGCAAACCATGTGTCCTGTGACTCACTTTGGCAATGAGCAAAGCATGAATTTATAAACATCCCCCCACTTATTGAATTTTTGTAGAATGAGTTAAGAGCTACAAGCATATCATGCCTCAGACCTGGAAAAAGATTTGGATCTTAATATCAATTGATATCATCTAAGAATAATTAGTCTACAATGATTTATTTATATTTGATTATGAAAAACCATAGCTCCTAACGTTCCTCCACCCAGAACACATTCATTAACAAAAAATTGTTAGCGTAGATAAGAACTAACCACATGAAAATGATCTAAAAGAGGTACCAACTAATCAACAAATATGAGGACACCAAAGACCAACCTTGTAATACATTGATCTGATTCGCATTGCACATTGCTGGATTAAGCTTGCAACGATTCCAATGTCCATGCAAATCAGCGGAAGGTGGAATCAAACTATGATGAAACTGTTGGGGAAAAGTTGACTAAAATAATGGTCATACAATGCTAGAACATTCACTTGAACGACAGAGTGAATAGTATTGAATTTATAAACAATTAGAGCAAGGAAATTTACCTGGAATACATCATAAGCTGAGTTCAAGATAAAATATGGCGTTGTAATATATTTTAATGCATACTGGGGAAAGAAACACTGCAGAAAAAGAAGTTAAATACCGTAGCAGTAAGCAGAAGTAAGTCATTCTTGTATGGATAGGACCATCACAGAGATCATACCAGCTTTGAATTGTTGGTCGACCTCATGCAATTTTGATTTAGATTTTTCTCTATCCCCTGTCATGTACATTTCCTTTATGTGAATAAAGCTTCATGCTTAAAGCACACTTTAACTACTTTATACATTCTGTGATAAATATTAACTAGTTTTTGTTATTAACAATTCTGGAAGTACTTCTGGACTTGAAATGGTGCTAGTTACCACTAAATCATGTATCAAGAACTCTATAATTAATGCAATACATGAAAAAGTGGAGCCATTTAAATGTTTACTGAGGCAACTGAATTCAGATTGACAATGTTGAAATTTGGGGCTCAAGAGTGGGAATGGTTCTCGCCCACTTGCATGTAACCCTTTCTCCTTTCTCCCATTTTTATCAATGTGAATTGAAAACTAGTAAATTGATATAATTGCAATACATTGAGCACCCTTAATACAGTTAATTCTACCAACTACACACTATAGTCTAGTGTTCTCTTGTTTGTCCTAAGTAGAATATACAGCATAACACATAGTTGCTTATAAATCACTAGAGATTTGGATACAAGGAGATAAACCAAAGTCCAAAAGATTTTGGACAATCACAATTTAAGTATTTGATAAAAATAAGTACCTGTAAAGCAATTAGATCAAGATAGAAGGACCTCATAGTGTAATTCAAACTTATGTCTCGTCTGCAAAATGAAAACCAAGGATGTAATATCCAGAAATAGAAGATCGTGCACTGCTGAGAATAGTGAAACTTACTCATCCAGAAAAAATCCAGCATCACTTAAACATTTCACACTGGCATTGCTTGGTAACATCTTTGTGAAGTTGTCACAGTGCAGAAAGGTCGCTAGAGCCCCAGCAGAGCAACCTGAAAGCAAGGCCTACAGCGGAGAAAGAGCAAAAAGATGTGAAGCGTTGCTAAATTTTGCATAAAAAATTGCAACTGATTAATGCAGATCAAAGTTCAATGGGATGATCATCTTCTTACAAATAATAAACACGTAAATATGAAGATGATAAATAGACCATTATCTTGTGTTTGCCAGAAGGTATTGAATCTGTGTGATATTCATAAAGAAGCAGCAGATTGAACTAATTAGTTTCAATGGGCAAAACTGAGGCTTCAAGGGAAGGCCTTACTGTTTATTATCTTGCGTTTAGCTTGGAGTACTTACATCTAGTTCGTATGGAAAGAAAGAAACAACATGCTGTTTGGCAGGCAACAACTGAGTCAGGAGGTGTTTTGCTTAACATCATGGAAGTTATTAGATACAAACTTTGTGGAGTACAAAATATAGCAGATGACCACGTAAATAAGGGACTTAGTGTTAATTGAGGGTTAGGAGATCAAATTTTATCTTGATTGTTGTTTGTAAATACTGTTTCCAGCAAAATGCCTTTTTTTTTTTTGGTAGAAGGATAGATCCTGCTTTCTTTGAAAAAGAAAAAAATAGACAGTTAATATCAAACCTCTAAAATATGAAGTGAAATATGCAAAGTTCAACTAAATGAAACTTACCTTGCATGCAGTTGCCAACCCCTTGGGTAGAAGATCATGGATAATTGCTTCCCAAATTTTATAACCTCTGAAATAAAGCAATGATGTCTGTTCATTTCAGAAGCATACACATGGAAGGAATCAGTTAAAGAGCAAGTTCAAAGGTCTTTCCCAGTATACATCTTATAAGTTAACAAGTTCTTAATGTGAAAGAGCCTTCTTCACAGATTGTAACTTTCAGTGCCACTGCCATAGTTATTTCTGAATCCTATGAGGACTTCACCATCAGGCATCTTAAATGGCATTTTGAGTTTAAAGAATAATGTGATAAATATGATTTTAAAATGAAAAAGGTACACTGCATGGCACAAAGTTAAGATGAGAAAGTTACCCCATTGTCAAACTTGCTATCCCCTGAAAATGAGGCTCCATCACAATATCTCAGCTTCACACGGTTCCAGTTGTAAAAATCTGATTGTAATGAGAATTTCATGATTAATCCAACCAATGATAAAGAAAAGAAATGCCATTATCTTGCAAGGATAAGAACCTTTAAATTTTGAGTGCTTAATTCATTTTTGCTCAATATGGTGATATGAAAAAAGGTTCTGTCTTCAATGATTTAATCAATCAACCTACCAAAAGCAGAACTTCTTCTTCAATGCATATTTTTGAAAGTCCTCGAAATAATAAGCCCACAGAAGGGAGATCAACCATATAATTATGAAGGGAAAAAGAGCAGAGGTTTAATGATTTGATAGTTGCTTAATTTGCAAGCAAAATTTTTTGTGATCAAGTACTAACTCCACCTCCTTATTCAAACAATCATTGAATTATCTAATTCTTCATCAATCAAGGAAACTACTCTCAACTGCGCAGAGTAAAGAGCCAATGGCTAGAAAATAGAAAGCAATTCCCTAAGTATATTTTGGAGTGTCAAGCATAAATAGGAAGATATGCGCGACTTCGGTCAAAAGGTATTGGGATCTTACCTTCCCTTGATAATTACTTCAATCATATTGTAAGTAGTAGTAGTAGTAGAATGTTGCCCCAAGTTTATGTCCTTTAGAATTATATAAAAACAACTGTTTATCAAAGAGAGTAACCATTTAATCCAACAAAAAAATTTGCCTTTTTGTCAATGTATGAAGAAATTTATAACCTCATTCTCTACAATACTATTTAGATATGTGGTTATATAGCACAATCTAACTGACTGGCATGAGCTTTTGACTTCATATAAAGTTTTGATGCAGCTTATAGAACAACACTTTCCTTTTTAAGGGAACAAAGTCAACTAGGAAAGTTTATAAAGGTTTTTATTCTTTTTCTGGTGACATAGAGCTAGGGGATGCACATGTGACTTGCCTCCTATGCTTTCCAACTATAGCGAAGGAATGTCTACTTCATCCTTTAGGGTAAGGAACAACTGCTTTTTCCATTTTCCACAAAATTGATACTTGCTCACCATTTGGGACATTGAAACAGTCCTCGAATGGGACCTACATGCAAGGTTATATATGTAATTTAAAATGCCCGAAGACAACAAGCGCAGAAACGAGTGAAACAATGCCTGGCAGAGAAGAAAGTGGTGCCAGGATTTATCACGTGAAGGCGACCACAGACGATGGTGAGAATCATGGACATGTCAACAGGATTACCGGGATTACCCTTTTTCAAACAAAAGGATTACCATAATAGATTTCTGGTACCAGACAATAGTGGTTGGTCGAGGAAAATGATGTGTGGGAAAATTAATGATGAAGCCTGCTTGCTGCATTGAAATTGACCCGTTGAATACCAACAGCATCAACTAATAATGAACCTTTCCCTCTTGTCTATATTTCTATGAAAAATCTCTATGATATGACAGATTACCAAGAACATACATTTAAATTCCCATTAATCAATCATAATTTCTCGTTAATTTTCATTGACACATGTATTCTAGATCCTTAGTATTTGGAGCATGTGAAATGACTGAACCTGGATTGAGGGACGCGTTGTTGCTTAAGATGCCAGAGAAGACTTCCAACTTGTTCATGTAACGAGTTGATCCACGGCGGGTTTTGGCTCTCTCCAGGCATGATGGTATGTCATTACACCACCCACCACCCTGATAAGAAGATGACCATATGGATCGAATAAACTTTAACAATCATAATCAATAATCTTAAGAATACTGGACCCACTGACCTAACAGAACTGACCAATTGGCCATCCCGTTAATCCCGTGATCATATGCAATATTGAGGGTCTTTCTTTAGGTTCAACGCTTGGGCATTTTGAATGGACTCTTTATTCTTCTTTTATACGCAACTTTAATTCGTGTTAAGGGGACCATAAAACAACTACTCCTTTTTAACAAAAAGCAAATTTGAACCAAATATCAAAATATAAAAATTTTTTTAATTCTTTTAGCCAATAATTTTTTTATTCGATACATACAATAAATCATTTCTTAAAAATGCAACATTTTAATCATTATCAAATATTATTCTTTCACCTTTTTAAGCTTTACCACGTTAGCATGTGAAATGACAGGATCCTATCTTATGGTTATAGTTTCATAATTATGACTGTTCATGAAGTCTAATAAAAAAAATGCGATAATCACACGTATGACTAGTATTTTTTTAGTTAAAACATATGACTTTTATGTTAAAAAAAATTGTAATTTAAGATAAAAATAAAAATATTAAATATTAAATTTATTAAATATTATTTTTAAAAATAATTTTATTAACCAATTAAATTATATTTTAAATTTTAAAACAATACTATATAAAAAAAAGTTAATAGCAATGATTAAAAATAATTATATAAATTATTTTAAATTTCAAAACAGTACTATATAAAAAAGTAACAGTCATTGTTAATTCTCACGGGTTGGACTCTTTTATTTTACCATTTGTATCTGATTATTTTACCTCTTTTTGCTTGTCGGCAATGGAATGATTTTAAATTATCTGACAAATTTGACCTCTAATAGGCTACCACTGTACCACATCAGCATTTCTAGGAGGGGTCCGCATTAAAAGAAAAAGAAAAAATAAAAAGTGAAATACACAAAACCTAAGATTTCAAAACAGTGTCAAGCAATGCCTATTGGTTTCCCAATGCATTTTGGTTCACCGTCGGCCAAATCATTTTTTTAGTCCTATTGTCACTTTCCAGGTAAATTTATGAGATATTATACCCTTTTATTCATTGGATTCACAGTTTTATTTTATAAAATGTCTTTTACAAGTTAGTATAAATTATGATCTTTAATATTATAATTAATTTTTAAATATTAATAATGTGTCATTGAAGATGATGATTTTTATTGAAGTGAGAAAAATATCATAATTTTAAAAAAAATCATAAATTTTATATTGATTTTATATTAAAATTAATTTTAAAATATATATTCACATTATTTTTATGAGATAAGATAATAAATTTTAACAAATTCAAACAAATAATATCTTATAAATTGTGACACCTATTATAACGTGATCTTATTCTAAAAATAACACGTGTTCTTATTCTAAAAAATAAAAATTAACTATATTATTATAGTAAAGATAAAATCAGTAATTACCTCACACTGTAAAATCCAGTTGTTTGCTGTGATCTTAGTCTAAAAATTAAAAATTAATTATATTATTATATAAAAATCAGTAATTACCTCAAATTGTAAAATCCAGTTGTTTACTCCAGCACCGAATCCTCTGTGCAGATGATACGCGGGCAAACTTCCATCCAAACAAACTACCAAAATTCACGAACCAAAAAGTTTACTACCGAATAAAGACACAAAGAGCATCCTAATAAAAAACTTAAAATGAGAACTGGAAAGCATACCAGCGCCGTTCACGGTGGCGTTTGGAACCAGAGTCATTTCAACCAGGAGTCGCTCTTCAGAATAAACGCACCATGGCCCGAAAGCTAGAAAAAATAGTAAACTCAGCATTATCTCTAAAATCAGCATCGTCTTCACGTTCAATATTTTCACAGAGCTCTGTTTCTCATTGAAAAATCTCGTCCTCGCGCTTTATTATTGATAACGGACAAAAAAATCCCGCGAAGCAAACAGATCTGTTTCTAAAGCTTCGAGAATAGATAGAGGAGAGATTAGATAAATAACACGAGAGAGAGATAGAAAGAGAGGCAGGTCGTTAACATACGTATAGATAGAGATAAAAGATTGCCACGCTCGTTAAATGTGCCGTTGATTATTTGGGGCCAAAATCAGAGAAAAAGAGAACACCAATGTCTCGACCGAAGAAAAAATAATAATAATAGTACTCCAAGAAAGAAATGAAAGGAGGAACTCCAATTCATAAAACGTATATTTTTTTTATTTTTCATAATTCCATTTTTTCCTAGCCTGGGATAAGAGAAAGAGAAGAGGGGAAAAGGGGAGATAAAAGAAAACTTAGAATTGGCAATGATGTTTGAAGTTTGTTCTGTCGTTGCCAAAATTGAAGAGTTGATTAAGGAATATGATGGGCTTACATTTGGCTAGGTTGTGTTTCCAGTTTGTTGGTGGAACCTACTTTGCTGACTTGTGAGGACTACTGGTAAGTCACCAATTCTGATCCACTCACTGTTTGAGTGTTCGCCCTTTCTGGTTTCCTCTTTCAATATTAAGAGTGGGACAAAATTTTTTTAAATTTGTGTGTTATTTATGTAATTAATAAATTTTAAAATATTATTTATTATTATTTTATTAAATTTAATAGATAAATAAAAATTGAGTTTATATACAAATTATTTATCAAACTTTGATTAATTTATATTTCGAGTATAAATGAATTAAATATAAATCAATTTTATTATATTTGTGAATTATTTATTTAATTAATGAGTTTTAAAATATTATTTATAATTATTTATTAAATTTAATAATAAACAAATTTAAATAAATAATACTTAGTGTTCATTGAACGTTTTAAATAAATAATCTTACCGTTCATTGAACGTTTCTTTCATTTATATTTTAGAGTTAAAAGTCAAGAAAGCAAAAGCTCTTGGTTAGTCAGTTTTGGTTAGGTTCTTCCCCACTAATATCCCAATTTCAGCCCCACGGCTCCCCTTAGGGTTGATCTTTCCATTGAAAGGCTGCACTAACTTTGGCAGTGACCGGCGCTTTTACTCCCTAATTTTTTTTTTTTTTAATCAGCTATAAATTAAGATTTAATGTATCATGAGTTCAAATTCCATGACGATTAGAGTTATGTCTTGGTATTTTAAAATTGACGTTTTAACAAAATTCCCCCCTTTCTAGTAATTTAGTTATTTTTAGACAGAAAAACCAGTGAGTTCAACTTTCAGCATCCTATTTTTCTCTGGTACTAATGTGATCATGATTTACATTTGTCAAACCCTTGACCCTTATTTAGCAATGTCTTCTTATTTGGTCTCTGGAAATTAATTGCTACTATAACATGAAAAAATGACTTAGAAGTATTGATACACAAGTTAGATTATTTCTTTGGTAACCATTGTTACCAACTCTATTAATAACTTAATATACAATAATGAGACTTTAGTTTAGTGGCAAGACGTTCTAGAACTTTAATATTTTAAATTCAAATCTCATTTCATGTGGATTTAGTTATTTAGTTAAATTATAATTTATTAATTAATTATTCAGTGATATAATAATTGATTATATAAATATAATATTTAATTATGAGTGTAATTTAAAAAAAAAAAACTTAATATATATAATGATAAGAATATTAAGTTAGGAAGCTCTCATTATCCTCCAATAATTACAAGAGTAGATGTTTATCTGCTTCATTGGATAATGAAAATATTTCAATTGTAAAAACCTTGGAAAATTACAGGACATTCTTTTGTAGTTGGTCTTTATCCTGCTTCTTTGAATAATCAAAGTATTTCAATTATAAAAAGAAAATAACTTAGAACTATACCTGCTAAATTAGTAAAATTTATTGACATTAAAAGAGTAGACCCAAGAAATGAAAACATAATTAATTTTGGGAGTATGGAAGCAGTTCAACAGGTGAGCAAGAGTAAAAAGGAATCCAGCCAGGAATTTTGAAAGTTGTCAACTTTGCTTTAAGAGAAAGAAAATTTAAGATAGAGGGTTGGAAAGAGTTGTTGCCATTGATCATAAAAGAGCATCTAAATTTATTTCTTGATAATTCATTTCATTTCGTTAGAGATTAAAGAACAGATTAGATTGATGCCAAGTGCCTACAATTGCGTGGTTTGTTAATAGACTAAGTATTAAAAAGAATGGATGGATCACTTTCCTTTTATGCTTTGCAACTAAGAGGCTCACAGATCAGCATTTGGGCAAGTTTTAATTGCCAGATCTGTTTCACATAGGCACATGAACTTCACATGCATCAGTTTTTGATTGAGTTGGAGATGTTTGAGATATATAAGATATTCTAATCATTGATTCCCTTAAGGCAACTCAAAATTTTAAGACTATTTTCATCAAATTGTCAGGTCGAGTAAAATTGAAAAAACCTTGCAATTATGATATATTATTTTCCATTCCCAGTTTTTTTTTTCCTAGTAAGAAAATGTAATGATATCCAACAAAGTGGGGAAATTTGTTGTTTGTCTCTTGCTTTTTGTTTTATCCTTTTTCTGGTCCCTTTTTATTTGTGTGCTATGACACAAAGTCACTATTTCACACAATTTGCTGTCCGATGAAAAGGGTTAACATCCAACTGATGATTCACCAAATCTCTGATTCATCAAATTTTGACTTTAATCTTAGGCAAATGAGTAGTTAGTTCAAATTTCACAACAATTAACGTACACTTAAAAGAGAAGAAAATATACACCAAACTTGAAACCAATAATAAACAATTTAGATGAAAAATGCTGACGATTGTATTCAGAAGACAATTGTGAAAGGATGGGTAGGTTTAAGGTAGGAAAAGAATCAATGAACTTATTCTAGCAGATACTACAGTCACTTATTCAATCAACTTTTTCTTTTCCTTTAAGAGGGTGAAGGAATAACAACATGAAACTAAAGGCATCATGATAACAGCCAACCACTAACATCAGAGATAGTAAATACTTGAAACCAAAGCAGTCATAGAAGCCAGCTTGTGAAGCCAAGGTTTTGTTGCCAACTGAACCGTATTTTGCACATATTCCGGAACCTGTGAGGCAAATTCCATTTAGCATGAGCTGTACTACTCGGCTGTGGTGTTTTCTGATCAAATATTGTGAGGGATGTAAATCAATGACTTTTTTAGACTCGTGCAAGTCTAAAAAAATCTGCTAATTCATCTAATCAAACAATACCTTTTATCATCCTTCTTCTAAATAAGAAGCCATCAAAAAGCTTCAACTCCTAGAGAACAGCAAAGTTGTGTTTATGTATCATCTATGATACCTGCAACGTTTGCACTTCGCACTTCAGACTTCAGTCACAACATTGAAAGACTATCTGGCAAACCGAAAGTGATAACATATATAAAATATTGCATAAAACACCAATGATTTATAGTGGTTTACCCTTAATACGAGAGTTACTTTCACTTTTAGAATCATTGCAAGAACAACCTATTCCGTTGCCAAGGAATCTGCCATCCCAATAACACCCCCATTATGAATAACTAAATTTGTTTAGTGGATAGGAAATGATAAATGAATTAGGCTTTGTTTGGTTATAGAAAATATTTTGTATTTTTATTTTTTATTTTCATTTTCGGAAAATAATTTTCATTTTGTATTTTCTGAATTTTGAAAAACATGTTTGGTGCATAAAAATGAAAATTTATTTTCAAACATAAAAATTGTAAAAATGTGTTTGGTATCTCTATTTTGAAAAAAAAAAATGATAACTAAATAAAAATAATATATTAGATAACATAATGAACTCTTTCAACCATCCAGAATCCCTCCCCTTTTTCTTCTTTCCTTGCCTTATGCTTAGATGATTTTCTTGTAGAAGAATAGCGAAACCCGGTTGTGCATCTTCTTATGAATTTGAGAGCCTCATAAAAATTTTCCTTTAATTTTGGCTTTTTTCATTTTCATTTTCATTTTCTAAAATTTGTTTTCATTTTTAACTACCAAACACATTTTCACTTATATTTTCGATTTTACATAAAACAAAAGCAAAAAGTGGTTTTAATTTCTAAAACCAAACGTACCCTTAATTAGTTAAACTAACAACTGAAGAAAAAAGAAAGAACAACTTTTTAATACATGTATCTGGTCTCCGTTGCATGTTGCCTAATCATGCTTGCAGTGATTCCATTTTCCTTCAACATCAGCAGAAGGTGGCACCAAAATATGATGAAACTATTTAACAGTTGGGGGCATTTGGTAGTTAAAAGAGTATATAATGATCTTTTTTCTTAATTAGAAGCCCTTAGTAGATAGCCAAAGGTAATTCGAACATATGTATCTGACACACTTAGTGCTACATCAACTCAGCCATGTTATTATTATCCCCCACTGGCCTCTACCTCTCATTTATAAATACAAACATTCAGGCATCACAAGGCAAGTCTCATATACTCTCAATCCTTTACGTTTTCAACCTTATTTATTCTAACTTATGCATCATAATGCAAACGTAAGGAACATTTCCTGCTTTTGCACTTAACTATTCTCTTTTAGTCTTCTATTCTTTCAGGAATACCCTCATATCGGAGCTTGGCATCAACATTTGACACACTAGGTAGGGGTTGAGCACGAAACAATGCCACCTATGAAGAAAACCTGAAAGAGAAGAGAGATGGCAACTCTGGTTAAAACAAAAATGCACAATAGCTAGCATTTGGACCAACCTGCCTCATAACAAGTTGGTACGACCATAGAGTAGTTCTAGTTCTTGATCGAGTAGATACAAGCCCTCAAACAAAGGTTGCAGACTATAATCCCAGTGCAAGCTTCAAAAGTGCCAAATTTAGTTGCCTCTAACCTACAAGTTGCGAAAAGACGTCAAGTTATAAAAAGATGAAGGCTTCCTCGACCTAAAAAAAAAAAAGCATAACACCACAACTTGCCATTACCTCAGCCATAACATGACATACGCCATAACCCAAAAATCTAAACAAACAAATCCTAAGCCCTAACTGAACAAAACTCGGAAGCTCAAATGCATGCTATGGAGAAAGAGCTAAAGGCAAAGGTAATGACTTTTAAGGATAAGCTTAAATTTTTGGAGACTTTTCCTTTTACCAAAGAAATTGACAAAGCCATGCCTCTTAAAGGATTTAAAATGCCAACCTGAGAAACCTATAACAATGCTTTTAACCTCTTTGATCATTTTAAACTTTATAGAACTAATATAGTGGTATAGGGCATGGATTAAGCTTTGATATGTAAGGACCTCGCTACCACCCTTAAGGGTGTAGCTCGATCTTGGTATAATAGCCTAGAACCGAGGTCAATCATGACATTTAAAGAACTTAGCCACTCTTTTTTATCCTGATTTATAAGTAGCTAAAGAATGAAGAAAGCAACCTTGAGCTT